CACTCCTCATCTCTCAGGCTTTTACCTCCCCTCTCTCTCCTCTCTTTCATTCCCGTTTCTTTTGTTTCCCTTTTCTCCTTTTTTTTTCTTTTTCTTTCTTTTCCTTTCTTTCCTCTCCTCCCTCTTTTTCTTTTTTCTCTTTGTTTCTTCTCTTTTCTTTCCTTTCTTTTCCTTTCTTTCCTTTCTTTTCCTTTCTTTCTTTTCTTTTTCTTTTCTTTTTTTCTTTTCTTTCCCTTTCCCTCTCCTTTTTTCCTCCCCCTTTCTCTTTTTACCGACGGCAGTGCAATTTTACCGACAATATCCTGACAGGTGGGAGGGTGTAGCACCCCCCACACATACACACATACACACCCCCCCCCCCCCTTTGGAGACGCCCCTGGTGTCACCACGAAAACATAGACCCATACATAGACTAGTTACACTAAATCATCTGCGCCTCGTCTGTAACTTCTACTTTCCTTTTGTAAGTGCATCTCTGATCATTGATAGGAATATAATTATACTAGCGCTGTGACATGTAAAATAACTCGGCCTTGTTTGACCTCCTAGTAGAAAATTGAATTAAAATACAATTGAAGAACCATGAATTTTAATCTGCTTTGCGAAAATATGTCGTCCGTGTCATTTCCTATCTAATTGTATCTTGTCTGGTTTGTTACAGTCAAAATGTTGCTCCACGATTTTGTTGTTGTTGTTGTTGCTGCTGTTGTTGATGTTGGGTTTTAAGGCTGTCCAATCTGAAAAGATTGTTTCAGCTTGGCTATACTGTTCTTCTTCAATGATGATTAGATGGCGCTGTTTCTTTTTCTCTGGCTCAAATATTGATTCAGTCGTTTCAGTGTTTCATTTTCTTCAATATTGCTCCTCGCATGGTCGCCACTGACTTTCACAGCTTCCTTTTGTTGGTGAACTGTGACCGTTCAATCGATGGTGTGGGCAATAATTTAGGTGTCGACCGTATGGCAAGCCGTTTTAACATTCATTCCTATTTCTTGATATCAATAATTGTTATAGTGATTGATTTCGAGCGCAAAAGTATTGCAATAATTCATTTGGATATCGAGCTCAAAAATATTGCAAGAATTCGTTTGGATATCGAGTAGTGCAGAAATTCATTCTGATATCTCACGCAAAAGTATTGCACGAACTCATCCAGAAACTCATCCACCAAGAAATGATTTTCTGTTGTAAAGCGATGGTAATTCTTGATATCAAGAAATAGCAACAAGATGAAGTTGAGTTCTGGTCATGCGATTGCATTGTGAAAGAAACGGTGTGGAACCGACCAGAAAAGGTTGATCATCTAGCATGTAAGAATTTGTGTGTATTGCAAGGTTCTGGAATCATCAAAATTATAAGAAATTTGGCCAAGTCTTGGTAAAGTTACAAACACTTGCACAGAAAGATGTATATGGGACTACACGAACACGTATTTCGGACCCCCGTGACCCGGCCTTTTTCAGTGCCAGAAATATGCCAAACTTTCAAAAATTATGTTAGGCACGATTGTGCTAACATGGCAACAAACCAAAGTGTTCAACCCGTCCCAATTTTTGGCAAATCTTGATAATTTCCTTTGCTATTTTTTATGGGGTCAGGATATTTCCTGAGCGGAACTCTTCAAACTATCAAATTTGCTTATTATTCACCGGGGCCGTTGACAATTTATTTATATTTTTTGTCCGCTTCTGATCGATTGCATTTTGTCCTTTCATTTCGCTTTCAATTACAAACTTATACAGTAGGGTTGCGGGTGCACCATGTGAGAGAGAGAGAGGGAGGATTGAGGAGTCCTGAAAAGGACTCTCGGTAATCTTTCTTGAACGGTAAGTAGTCCTGAAAAGGACTGTTGGTGTAGTCTTGAAAAAGACTGGTGGTTATCTTTCTTACCTTATTTATATATCTACATCACCATGTACGCCGATACTTACAAGCAGCATCTAATCACAAAGTTGTATTATCAAGGTCCCTGATGCTTTGTACATGTGACTTCATGATACACTTGCAGATTAAGGAAAGGGGCACATCAGTCCGCCCCTTTGACACTCTCGTGTCATAACTAAAATATACAACCCAAGATTGTGCCCCCGGGCCCCCTTTAATAAGCCTTTGACCTATAATTTTTCGGAATTTCGTGTCCCTTCTTTTACAGAATCCTGGTTCCCTCATGGAATAATCTTAATAACTCGTTTATTAAACCGATGTCGCCCCTGAAAGCTATTGCGAGAAACAATGGATATATTGTTTAATTTTATTATTGTATTTGATTAGCCTTTTTTTTATATATATATCTGGCGACACGGCCTTTCATAAATCAACCTTAAAACAATGTAATGTGCAAACATGACAATGGAATGATTCTGTAGACATTAAAATAGGTTAGTGACCTTTCGGGCTCTTGAAAGTCTTTGCAGTTCTGTTAAGTGATCCATGTCATTCTCTTTCATAGAAGTAGTGCGTACCCATTTTAAATGTGCTTAACTTGTAAAACCCCATTCGGTCAATTTCCTCTGTAATCAGTTTAAAATATATCAATCATGAACATTATGTTAAGTTCATTAAAACAAACTATGAAAATGGTAACAGGAAAAGGGAGCACCTGTAGACAGCTTGTTTTAGCTTGTTGATGCAGGTGTCCAAATGAACAAAATAATTATTACACAGATATAATAAAATAATAATGATTATTATCTACATAAATAAGGCTTCCAAGTTGTATAACAAATTCAGTGTATTCAATATCTTTAGCGCAGTACCCGGATGACTGACCAATATTGTTTTCGTATTGCTCAGTCATCCGGTAACTTCAACTATCGATATCGATATCACACGAAAACAAATTCTTTTTCTTCTTTTATCATCTATCTTATTCTTTCCTTTTATTATAAATCTTTTTTTTCTCTCTCTGAAAGAAATTTTGAAAAATTATTGTGGAAAAGAAGGAAAAAATTGGAAATGTAATATGCAAGCTGGTCGAGGAAATTGTAAAAACTTTATTTGCGATTTGTTTAATTGTGAAAGTATAATTTTGATTATGTGAATATTTTTCTTCTGTAGGCCTAAATGTGTAACTTGATTTGCAAATATATTTTATAGCAAGATGTATGTGTAACCTTGTATTGGAATGTTGAAATTCATTTGCAAATTTATTTATGTAAAGGTTATTTGTAATTTTGTATAAGATTTTATAAGTTATGTACGATTTTTTTATGAGAGAAAAAAATAAAAACCTATGAAAAAATGGAGAAAAAAAACATTTACCGAGGTAAGTCAATTTTTTTTATTTCGCTAATCAGCCGAATATAGATAATAATAATAATATTGTACGGCTTTGTTTTCGTGTGATACAAGAATATCTTGCCATAGCTCGAGCAAAATATTCTTGTATCACACTCAAAGCCATCCAATATTTTGTAATTATTGCGTAAGGATTCATTGACCCCTCCCTCCCCACCATGCACGTACCCCTCCCCCTTTTCTCTCTTTTGGTAGTTTACAAAATGTATTTGATTTTAAAATAGGTTTTGAACTAAAACAAATATATATATATTCAAAGATGAGTGAAATGAGTAAATCATAAACAATACATTTCCTATTGAATAGTACTTTATCCTGTAGTCTTAGTAATCTGTGTAGAGCAATTATGGCAATATGAGTTTTCCATGACAGTTTTTCATCGAATGAATAGAGCTTGACCTGATAGTTACCGAAGGAGCCCCTCTGTCTAGTCTTGACATTCGTAGTAGGTCCATGGTCTCGCCGGTCAAGCCGGTGGATGAGGTCAGTTGCTCGTTTGATGATTCTTCACATTGACCGATAATGATAAGGCTAAAACAACAATAATCATGATGTCACTCGACCTTTCAAGGTACTTGGGAACATGCATTTACTGTTAGAGGATGTTGCATGCACAGTGACGCCTTCAAAGAAAAACATAAATATCTTGGTGGTTTGAGACTTTGTTCAGGATTTTTTGCATGTTAGAGGGTTAGTACAGTAGAAGAAATATGATAGGTAACATTTCATACCGAAATGACGCAGTTTTTTTTATCAACCTTCATGCACAATGTTGCCGAGATGTTGCTTTTTGCTCTGTTGAATCTTTTTTATTTTTAACGCAAACAAATTTCCTGTTGTTATTTTCAGCATCCTATCTCTCTCTCTCTCTTTCTCCTCGTTCTCTTGCAGGCGCGGATCCAGGGGGGGGGGGGGCGAGCGGGACTTGCCCCCCCCCCCCGGCGCAAAAAAAGACGGGCCCCCCTGGAAAAAAAATTGTGACCACAATTTTTTTTGCTCAAGGGGGGGGGGGAGGGGAAGGTGTTTAGCAAAAAAAGTGCTGACTACCCCCCCCCTCCCCCTCCCCCCCCCCCCCACTGAGCGAAATATCGGAAGGCACGATTTTCAAATTTCAGCACACTAAATTTCAAATTGATTTCAAATTTGGGCCTCCCCTCCCCCCCCCCCCTAGTAGTAGTATATTGTTTTATTTGCTCTTTATCTCAACTTAGATTGTTATCTATGTACGAATTTTTATTCAAACAGTATTTTATACCGATAACACCCTACTCATTTTTAACTTTTAAATCGTGTTCAAGGAACTTTTCACCTCGAGGGTCAACATTAGTTCGCATTTTCTTATTACACCGAACCTTTAACACCTAGGTCGTGCAAATAGCTTCCCTTATAAAACTATTAAGAATGAGACTTTGACCATTAGCATTAGGGGTTTAGCTGCCTCAAAGATGTTTACAGTCCGCTCATAAAATAACAAAAAACTTCGATTTCTGCTCATTTCATCACCGTTGTTTCGAAAGCGCTGATGTATGCTTCTTAGAGCAGCTTTTGCAAGATATATTGTATTGTTCTAGTTCGTGAGAGCATGGTCCATGTTGAGAGGCAGGTGGTATTTGTATAGGTTGATCATATTGGCTGAGCCCTGCACCAAGCACAGGGTAATACACAACAGCCTGTGTTCATTTTCGGATAATGTGAAGGTGAGCTTCTATACCAATAAATAAATAAATATATATACAATTTAATTAAATTTTATACGCAATCAATAGTTATAATTCAATTACATTTTGAAAGATTTGGTTACTTTTGATTTACAACCGAGGACATCAAAAGCGGTATAATAATTAAGATATATTGTATTGTTCTAGTTCGTGAGAGCATGGTCCATGTTGAGAGGCAGCTGGTATTTGTATAGGTTGATCATATTGGCTGAGCCCTGCACCAAGCACAGGGTAATACACAACAGCCTGTGTTCATTTTCGGATAATGTGAAGGTGAGCTTCTATACCAATAAATAAATAAATATATATACAATTTAATTAAATTTTATACGCAATCAATAGTTATAATTCAATTACATTTTGAAAGATTTGGTTACTTTTGATTTACAACCGAGGACATCAAAAGCGGTATAATAATTAGGTTTAAAATGTATTAGAATTCATATTATTCGTACATTTTGTTGCATCCCTGAATGTGCTGGTATTTCTATATTCTTGTGTTCACATTAAATATGTATTAATGTGTGGAATCCTTATAGGTTTAAAAGACTTATAACAATTTCTCCTCTCTTTTTCACAGAAACCAACTTATCACGACGATGAGTGAATGGGACTGGTTTTGTGGTGTAAACTACACACTCGACTCTGGCACCGGTTTGAACAACTCGTGTTTAATCAACGGTATCATCGTTGTACCCCAGTTGGGATTCGTCCTTCTCTCATCTCTCTTCCTCATCCTCCTCGCCTCTTGCTCCTCCCGCCAGAGTCTCACCGGCTCCAAGTATCTCCTGCGTCTCCCGGGTCACACTCCAAGATGGCTTCTGACTTATGTCCTTCTTGTCCTCACACTCTCCTTCATAGCAGAAGGTATTCTGACCAAGACACCTTCCTCGCCAACTCCTTACCACACCAACCACACCTTTATGTTGCAGGAGTAGTGATGCTTGCCGGGGCGGTATTTTCCATTCTCTACTTCCACATGATGGAGAAATGGCGTGAACGTCACATGGTTTGGCTCCTACTCGTATACTGGGTGGCTTCGATGTTTTCGTTGGTGGTGGAGATGGTGCACATTAACAGAAGAGGAGATATCAACTTTCAAAACGTCAAATTTGATATCACTCTGCTGATGCTTTTCGTAGTGTTGATGTTTCTTGTTAATGAAATAATCCTCTGTTGTCATTTGGTAAGGAAAATTTTGTTCATACTTTTTACTGAATAATGTTACAATATATAAACATCAACGTCGAGTCTATAAGTGATAAATCAAGTAGATAGAGAAAGGTTGTCCGTAATAATAAAGGCGATACAAAGTGTACATCTAATGACGAATTCACAGCATTACTATGAAAAGAGTATTTAAAAAAAAACGAAACTTTCTCCAAGTAAACGTTTTCAAATTGACAATGTGGAAATTTCAATAATGTATGGGTTTCAAAATGATGAGCCACAAACGATCAAACATGTGGGGTTTCAGTGTTTTTTAGTACTGAGTAGAAAGTAATTTGTTTTTATCTATTGATTCCTTTGCCGCTTTGATTGAAAAAGTTCAAAGTATTTTCGCGGGGATAACATAAGGTCTTTAAAAACGATGTATTTATAGCCCTATATAATGCAACTTATATATACGATGATTTTTTTTTTATACTAGTTCCTTCAGTTATATTTTCTAGACCTTGCATCTCATAATCTGCAACGTGATCAGCCATGTTTACTGTTGATGACGCAACACACGTGTTATCTCACCGGATTTACCCTCTGTTTTACGTGTATTTATTGATTCTTATCCAATAAGAGCAAACAGGTTGTAAATGAATATTTCTCTTTCAATCATTTAGTTATTTGATATCATTCAAACTTCAACCTCTCGAACATCTTTATTGAGTTTGAACTCAAACAATTTATGATTTGGGCAATAACCTGGAGTACCTATGCAGATTTGGTAGTATTGTAAAGCTTTGGCGAATTTCCTTCAACTCAATTTTACATACAAAAGAAACGATCTTTGTGTTCTTTTAAACATTATTCTGGAAGCATAAAAATTATCAACAGTAGGATTTCATTGTGAGCAGCTATCTCAAACCAAAACGTAAAACAACCTATGTATAGTGCTTCAAAATTTACTTGCCAGATTACTTTACAGTATATCAGCGTGAATAAGGTTTCATCGTAAGACGCCATTTCACACACAAAAGGGCACGCTAAAAGAGAGATTCAAATGTCAGTGATTATACTAATCACGAACCCATACAACATAAGGATGATCCTGTGTTATTATATCTCCAGTACAAAGCGTGCTTTGATGACATTTATGCATGCAATTAAGGCCGTGCGTTGTATACAACTAATTGCAGTTAAATAATAATGAAAGCCACTGGTAAAAGAAGTTTGTGTCGCTTGTGGCGATTAAAGAAAATTGTAATAATGCAACATTTAATTTTACGTTCATCACCCTTAAACTTGTAATTCAATGGTAAATCTGAGATTTTACATCATTTATGTAACTTGAAGGTCCATTCAAAAGGTAAACGAGGAGGTCTTGTTTTTTAGAAAGAGAAATACATGTTCATGAATATCACAAAATTAATATACACCGATGTTATGCTTTAAATCGAAAATGCTCAACGTTCCAATCTTCTCGCAAATCAATAACAATGAGATTGTAAGAAAAGTGAAAGAAGAAAAACAAAATCGGAGTTAATAATCGTACACATAAAAAGACGGGAGATTTGCCCCTTAGTAATATGGCGAAAATGAGGAAGGGAGAGGGTTAAGAAAGAAAAGGAGGGGAATGACGTGAAAAGCATTTCCATGTTACCCCGCCCTGCATCGACCTAATACTTTTCGATACCGCCCCAATGATGCCAATGCCGCCTCAATGGCTGGACATTAGGCAACTGGTCCAGACTGCGGCCTGTGAGGCCCCAGGATAAAAACCGTGTTGATCACCTATATTAGTGCCCTTTTGTGAGGCATTAATAATAATAATAATAATCATAGTGGATATACTTGTTAAGCGCACAGGTCCACCTTTCGGTGCTCAATCCTTATTACTATCAGTTATGATTTCAGGACGTAGGTCCCCTAGTTGATATACATAGTACTACTAGCATACACATGCTTTAGCAGTCAGGCAAAACAAACACTCGCCAATAATTATCGAATAACATCAGAGAATGTATACTATTATCTAAATCTATTAGGAATAAATCATTGTCAAAATCATTCCATAAATTGGGGTAAAAAAAAAATCCCCATCTGAGCTCTCATAGTGCAAATCATTATTCTGTAATTTTTTCTCATGGCATTGATTTTTTTCTTGTTAGGAATTTGTCCTTCCCCCACTGACCCAAGTTGATAAAGGGATATATAGGCTACTCAATCCATTCAGACCTTGTTCTATGATAATTCTTGTAAGATACTGCGTTTTGGATGCCAAAACAATTTAGATCTTGTTACCCCCCCCCCCCCCCCCTCCAAAGAAAATGCTCAAATTATGACGTCAATGGCATAACGTTTTGGGCACTATTGTTTGGGAGGATGCGGGAGAGGTATTGAATGTCTCCCTTTTATGTTTACTCCCTTTCATCCCCCCTCCCCCTCTCTCTCTCTCTCTCTCTCTCTCTCTCTCCCTCTCTCTCAAGGGTGTCGATTTGTATCCTCGGTTGGGGGGATGATAGGTGCCAAAATATTTTCGGCCGGCAATGGATCAAAGCAACCAAGAGGTAGAGGCGTGTGGCAGGTTGCACCCCCTCCCTTCCAAGTTTTTAACTTTTTCAAGTCACCCTCAATAAAGATAACATTTTAGAGAATATGGGAACCATGTGGGTCCTACATGCGCTTGCTACCTAGGTTATTATCCTCTCAAGCATATAGGCAGGATTTTATTTCAGGGGGGGGGGGCGGTAGTGAGCACCTCCTAGAGGGTGGGTGCAGGGAGGGGGAGCTCTGACATTTCATTAAATTATTCAAGAAAGAAGACGATTCGTTGTACCATTCTGGACTCTTAATCCTTGTCTGAATTCAGTTTCCCCCCCTTCCGCGCGAGGCGTGGAAGCTCTGACGTTTCATTAAATTATTACAGAAAGAAGACGATTCGTTGTACCATTCTCGACTCTCAATCCTTGTCTAAATTAAGTCCCCCCCCCCCCTTCCCGCGCGAAGCGCGGAAGCTTTGACGATTCATTAGATTATTAGAGAAAGAAGACGATTCGTTGTACCATTCTCGACTCTTAATCCTTGCTGAATTCAGTTCCCCCTTCCCGCGCGAAGCGCGGAAGCTTTGATGTTTCATTAAATTATTAGAAAAAGAAGACGATTCGTTGTATCATTCTCGACTCTTAATCCTTGTCTGAATTCAGTTCCTCCCCCCGCCCCTCTTCCCGCGCGAAGCGCGGAAGCTTTGACGTTTCATTAAATTATTAGAGAAAGAAGTCGATTCGTTGTACCATTTTCGACTCTTAATCCTTGCTGAATTCAGTTCCCCCTTCCCGCGCGAAGCGCGGAAGCTTTGATGTTTCATTAAATTATTAGAAAAAGAAGACGATTCGTTGTATCATTCTCGACTCTTAATCCTTGCTGAATTCAGTTCCCCCCTCTTTCGCACAAAGCGCGGAAGCATTGACGTTTCATTAAATTATTAGAGAAAGGAAGACGATACGTTGTACCGTTCTCGACTCTAAATCCTTTTTCTTCCTACGTCCTCTTCCACCCCCACCACCCCCTGGCTAAGCGCCTGTATCCTCTCTGTCCCTCATTATATCTCTCTCTTCTTCTTTTTTGCACTTTTGCGCTTCGTGCTTAACATTTACTAAGCTCGTTGCATTTTTAACGCTGCGGCTTTGCTTTTGGCGCACTGCATTTATATGATGCTGTTGATTGAATAAATTGAATAAATTCATCAATTTCTGATGAAGCCGTATGAACGAGAATTCAATTTATTCTTGTCTCATATACGGTCGTCTCATTTACTTCGTTGTCTATTTGTATATGTATGTATTATGAAAATAAGATAGCAAAATGTGTATATTGATGGTCATCTTGCGAGTAATAACCATTAACTACTCTCATCGGGCTGTCATCATAAATTTTTTTTTTTTTTTTTTTTTTTTTTTGATTGTGAACTATTGGGGTATGATTGTACAGGCCATCCCCCACCTGAAATATTGGGGGGGGGGGGATATATCCCCCCCCCATCCCCCCCGGGATCGACACCCATGCTCTCTCTCTTCACTTTTTTTCTTTAATCGGGCCATTCGATTGGGAAGGGGGCACTCGCTCCACTCGCTAGTCTTCTTTGACAGCTGCGTGCCAGCATTGGTTTGACCCCGCGGCTCTCATTAATAAGAGGGTTAATAAGGAGTTGCTCCGATTCCCAGATTTGCGCGAGTGCAAAGACCGAATCGCTAGCAGCCAGGTCTGTGTACCTGTTATGTGCATTTGGGAGCTGGGCGTGACTTGTACGTTCCCGCGGCAAAGAAAGTGCACCTCGCTAGCGAGCTGGCTACACATTGTATAGCTGGCAGGACTTTAGGCAGGAACTAGCCGTCAGCACACTCGCGGCCCCCGCTCCAGCCCCGGCTGCTCGGAGTACTGCAGTGGTGTGTAACAGACCGATAATAGCAGAGATCAGCCTACTTTTCAACATGTCTGAAACGGGGAAGCCCAGCCAACTTCTAATCTCGATTTCACTCGTCATCAATCTCTGCTCATCAATCCTCATCGTTTTCTTGAACAAATGGCTCTATCGGAACCATGGATTCCCCAACATCACTCTAACTTTTCTCCACTTTCTGATGACATCCCTTGGACTGGTCTTTTGCTTGATGTTGGGTTTGTTTCAGCGGAAAAGCATCCCCATCAAAAATGTACTACCACTGAGCTTAACCTTTTGTGGGTTTGTGGTGTTGACGAACCTTTCTTTACAGAACAACACTGTAGGAACATATCAGTTAGCCAAGGCGATGACGACTCCATGCATTCTTATCATTCAAACTGCCATTTATCGAAAAACATATTCAACAAGTCTTGTCCAAAACAAAGATTATCATACTCACCAGTGTCAGCTTTACTCTTAGAGTAAAGCTGACACTGGTGAGTATGATAATCTTTGTTTTGGATTTGTCATCATCACAAAGTCATGATAGGCTTTTATGGGTCAACCACTCAACCTGATAACCTGATGGGAGGGGGGGGGGTGTTGATGCTATGAATTACAGCCAAGTTTCTAATCCTAGACTATGTAATATTTGTATATTTTGAATTATTACTATTAAGTAAATATTATTCCTTTTATTATTGGTAGCAGGGGCGGCTCCACAGGGGGGCAGGGGGTGCTCCAGCCCCCCCCCCCCTTATCGGGGAAGAGGAAGGGAAGGAGAAAGAGGAAAAGGAGAAAGAAAAGGAAAGGAAAAGAAGGAGAAGAAACAAAAAGAAGGAGAAGAAAAGAAAAAAGAAGGGGATGAGAAGGAGGAAGGCCAGGAGAAAGAGAACTATAAAATGTAAATTATGACGTAAGGGAGGGCGGGGGGAGAGGGGAAAAAAATAAAGATAGAGAAGATAAAGAAAAAGAGAGAAAAAGCCAGCCAAATCAGGCGATCAGATTTTAGGATTAGACGCGTCATTATTACATTCACATTACTGGAAGTTCAAACATTGGTTTACGATGAAAAACCTTTCACCAACTGAAAAAAATCAAATTAATCCCTTAATCTCCTAAACTTTATGGCTGATCGTTCAATGGAAACGACAAATTCATCTATAACAACCCTTCTGAAAAAAAAAATATGGTGACTACCCCCCCCCCCCCCCCCCCCCTGTGTTCCTGTTAGTTGAACTTAAGACCGTTTAATTTTTAATTTGCAAAAAGTATGCACCAAATCTAGCCATTTATGCATCAATTTTATAAAAAAATCTTCAACTTCAACTCAGACACCCTTGTGTCGCGCCCATCCCCCCCTAACAAAATAACCTGGCGCTGCCCCTGATTAGTAGTTCTATTATTATTTTTGGTGGGGGGGGGGGGGTAAATCATTCATTTTAACAAAGACATATATATATATATATATATATCTAGCCACTATTTATTTTAAAAATGGATGGTTTATAATACATGATGTCTATACAAATTTACACTTGTCATAAGTGTATCTCTCCTTATGCTTGTTTGTTTGTTTCTGCACAGATTCCCATAACCATGGGAGTTATAGTGAATTCCTTCTATGACGTGAGATTCAACGTAATCGGAACAGTTTTTGCAACAGCTGGAGTACTTGTAACATCAGTATATCAAGTGGTAAGTTCAAGCAGGCCTTTCCCTGGTTTAAAGGAATATTGCTGGTAGTTCAGGCAACAATATACCCTTACATGGAAGGAAAGTGAAAGGACCTTGAATACTTTGCTGGAAAAAAGCTTCCAGTGAAATGGCTAAATCCAGTTGTACTTTCTAAGTAGTAATAATAATAATAATAATAATAATAAATTTATATAGCGCAGCTTTTATACAAAATATATTCAGTTGCGCTGGTAAAGAGCTCCTTTTTACTAAATTCTACAAAATAAGATCTCTCAGTAGGCCTAAGTGGGTATAAGTCAAGTTTGTTACGTTGTTAAATGTTAGAGGCATTGTAGCTCCAAAATGTAAAAAACATATACCTTCCTTTCTTCAATATTATTTACTGATTTATTTGTTATTTATTGATAAAGACTATTCGTTTTAGTGTTTTAGTGTATTTACCTTTGCATATATTCATAGGTGTTTATCGATATAGGCCTAAATGATAATGGATGCTATTTTAAGAGACAACCTAATATATGCTCTGTAGGACATTAGTGACCTTTACTTTTTCCTTTTAGAAGCATTTTATTTGTAATGACATTATTACAATAATATATAAACATAATTCTTACTAATTCCACAATTAATATTCAATGTAATAATTGATTACAGTGGGTGGGAACAAAACAACGTGAATTTCAGGTGAACTCTATGCAGCTGCTCTTCTACCAGGCGCCCCTGTCAGCATTCCTGCTATTGTTTTGTCATCCCATTCTGTGAACCTATCATAGGAGAAGGGGGTTTGTTTAGCAGTTGGCCTCCTCAAGTATATGTAAGTTACAAATCTAATTAGCCTAACTTACCGTTACTTTTGACAGCCAATCAGCGCTCGACACCGCTCGTTTAATTCGCACCTTGTTCCTTTTAGTTTATATTGATCGATTTCGGCTTCCTGTTTCAATCTTGTGTTTTACTCTGATGAGTGCAAGTACAAAAGCTTAAGTTATGTCTCTTTCCAACACTATTCTCTAATATAATAATAGTAATAGTTATGATGATAATACAGAATAAGATAATAAAAGTAGTAGTAGTAATAATAATAATAATAATGTAACGGAGTTGTTTCAACGTAGCGGGCGTATGTGGGTCAGTGCATGCGGGTGGGAGTTAGGTATTAGGCATGAGCAAGAGAGGACGTGTTCGGGCAGGTAGCTAGGGAGGGCAGGATAAGATAGGTGAAACAGGGTGAATCGGAGTACTGCTACTAGCTGTTGAAGGGAAGTTACATTGTAAAGTTGGAGTTCTTCGTGAATAAAGGCAAGTACCTTTTGATGTAAAATGACACTGTGTTTCCGTGTATTATAGAAAAGTAGCGTGATCTGAGTGCGATCGATGATGTTGGAGTGATAGCTTCACTGTTTATGAAAGAACCGTGCGGGTGATTGGAGTCTCGTGAGATTTATTGACCGCTCGGTAATGGTGCAGGGACCCCGGACAAAACCCGTTACATTGGTGGCAGCGGTGGGATAAACATGCTGAAGCAGGAATTAAGCAACATCAAGTGATTATCGGGAATGCTAGTTCGCCTACACCTACGCCTTCACCTACTACTAGTTCACCTACACCTACACCTACTATAGTTCACCTACACCTACTATAGTTCACCTACACCTACTATAGTTCACCTACGCCTTCACCTACTAGTTCACCTACGCCTACACCTACTATAGTTCACCTACACCTACTATTATTTGATTTTGATTTGATTTTATTTCTGCATTTTTTCCAAATAAAATATAACTGAATAACAAATAACATAATATACATGTAAGGTATAATACAACATAAACAAACAATAATTTCTTCATGTCAAAATGTTTTTTTACATAATATATGTACATAATTATAATAACGAAACTTATTATTTCCCATAACATATTATCATAAATTTAAAGTATTATCCTAACTATTCTGGTGGAAAAGTGCAGGAGACCGCAATCATAAGCAAAGCTTGACAAGGATGGCGGCCTAAAAAAAAACAAGAACAAAACAAAAAAAAATCTTAAGGTAAAACTTAAAATGAAAAAGTGTTCAAGCGATCTTTGTGTATGAGTTGGTGAGTGTGTTGTGCAAGTGTATATATATATATATATATTGTGTGTGTGCGTGTGTGTGTGTGTGGGTGTGTGTGTGTGTGTGTGCACGTGCACGCGAGCGTGCGTGTTTGTATGTGTTTGTAACAAATAGTGGAAGTGTACGTAGCTCTGTGTGGTATAGTCGAGTAGAAACAAATACAGCCTTTACAATAAAGGAAATTAAGAAATACGAAATAGAAAACAAAATTTGCAAAACTGAGTTGCAATGTGACCGAAATTTGACAATTGCCTACTGCATGTTGAAATCAGTTATGTAGATACTTCGATATAAGAGTTTTTTTGAGAGATGCTTTAAAAGAATAGAGAGATGAACAATGCCTTATTGAATTTGGTAAGGAGTTCCAAACATCTGGTCCATGATGTCTTACTGATTTTTGTGCTAAAAGTATTTTAGGATTTTCTAAGTGATAATTTGTTGAACAACGTGTGGGGTATGTGTGAATGTTTGAGTTTAAACTGTAAATATTGTGAAATAGGGATGGTAATTGATTATGAGAATATTTATACATAAAAATGCATGTCTGAAAAATGTGGATATCTTGTATTTTTAATGTTTTTAAACGCTGAAATAAAGGTTCCGTGTGTGATATATAATGTGAGTTAGTGATCATGCGAATCGCTCTCTTTTGAAGCAAAAATAAGAAATTAATTCTTGTTAAGCTACAATTACCCCATACAATATTACAATAAATCACATGTGATAAAATTAGAGAATTGTATAATATAATCATAGATCTTTCAGAAAGAATTTGTTTTAACTTATACAGTATTCCAATATTCCTTGATATTGATGTATGTATATTACGTATATGCTCATTAAAATTTAGATGAGAGTCAATAGAGACTCCTAAAAATTTAACAGATTGTTTTTCAATGAGAGGCAAGCCATCAATCTCAATATTACAATTTCTCATATCATGTACGTTGGTCTGTTTAAAATGAATGAAATTTGTTTTACTAAGGTTTAATGACAATTTATTAGATTTAAACCACCTAGAAATTTTCATTAATTCACAGTTTAACCGCGTTATGAGGGTATCAAAGTTTTTATGGGAATAAGAAATACTCGTATCATCAGCAAAGATGATAAAATTTAAAAGTGAAGAGGTTTCAATAATATCATTTATATAAATAATAAATAGCAATGGACCCAATATAGATCCTTGCGGTACTCCACATTTAATTGTTAATTTTGTTGATTCATGATTTTGGAAAGATACGTATTGTTGTCTGTCTTGTAAATAATTAGTGAACCATGAAAGAGCTTGACCTCTTACGCCATAGTATTGTAATTTATGTATTAATATTTTATGATCAATCGTATCGAAAGCTTTTGACAAGTCCATAAATACTCCAACAATATGTTCACTGTTCGCAAAAGCCTCAATTATTTTATCATACATATGCAGAATTGCGTAATCGGTAGAATGACCAATTCTGAATCCGAACTGGTTAGGAATCAATGAATTATTTTTTTGTAAGAAAGTGTTAAGTCTTTTATATATTATTTTTTCGAGAATTTTAGAGATACTTGGTAATAATGAAATTGGCCTATAATTACTTATTACTGAGGAGTCGTCCTTTTTATAAATAGGAATCACTTTAGCGATTTTAAGCAAATGTGGGAATACACCCGTTGAAATTGATAAATTAAATATATATGTCAGGGGGGTTACCATATTAAAGATTATTTGTTTCAATAAGTGAACACTTATACTATCATGGCCACTAGATTTTGTAGAATTAAGGTGTTGAACTACATTAATAATTTCATAATCATTGGTTGGAGTAAGAAATAAGGAATTTTCACGTGGGAAATTCAAGGACTTATTGTAGTCCATGTCACCTGAATCAATATTAGCTGCTAAATTAGGGCCTACATCTATATAATACTCATTAAAAGCTTTTGAAATTTTAATTGGATCTGTTATTTGTTGTTCATCAATTAAGAAACATTTATTACTTTCTGTCTTTTTCTTGCCTAAGAGTTCCTTTACAGTTTTCCATAATAAATTATTGTTACTTTTATTACTTTCTATGTTGTTAGAATAATATAACTTCTTAGACAATCGTATAAGAGATGTAAGATGATTCCTATACGTTTTATACTTCTTAAGCTTGTCGTTACATTGACTTGTAAGGGCTTCCTTATACAACTTATTACGGGCGACTATGGAACGCAAAATACCCTTAGTAATCCACGGTTGTTTGGCCTTTTTACCTTTTTTTATTTTGACAAGGGGTATATTCTTATGATAATAATGTAATACAATTTCTAGAAATTTTTCATATGCTACATTTACGTCAGATACACATAATACCTCGACCCAATCTTCTTTGGCTAAATCAAAGTTTAATGATTCAATATTATGTTTTGTTTGTTTTCTATGCATTGCACAATTATTTTTAGTAATTTTTTTAACAAGGTGAACTTTAGAAATAATAAATATCGGTAAATGGTCAGAAATATCGTAATACAACAGACCATTTGTAAAATTGTTATGAGCTACATTCGAAAAAATATTGTCAATGAGAGTTTGAGAAATACATGAAATTCTTGTTGGTTTATCAATATGTGGGTTAAATGCGTAAGATTGCAGTGTACTACTAAATTTCACAATGTGGTTATCATCAGAATTTAAAAGATTAATGTTAAAATCGCCCATTATATAAACTTCTTTATTTTCTCGGGAAACAGTATCAAGACATTTATCAAAATTGTCCAAGAAAATGTCTACATTATGATTAGGGGGTCTATACATTATGCCAACTATTATGTTTTTGGTTTTATCATTTAATATTTCAATATATAAATCTTTAGCACCTTCAGTGTGTAAGTCAGACCTAACTTTAATTTTAAAATGATTATGTATGTATAGCGCTACTCCGCCCCCTCTACCATTGTCACGATCAGAACGAAACATGTGATAGTTTGGTATATTAAATAGAGGTGGGGAATTGTTATGGAGCCAAGTTTCAGATAAGCCTATTATGGAAAACTGGAAGTTATTTAATTGTAAAAAAAGTTCTTGTACGGACTCAAAATTCTTATTCATACTTCTACTATTAACGTGAAATAGGCTAAAGTCAGGATTGGCTTGAAGATTCATGGAGTTTGAATCATCGTACATTTGATCGTTATTATTGGATGAATTAAAACTAGAATTAAATTCTTCTACTGTATAATACTTGCTTTCAACATTTATCAAACCTTGGTCAAAATTTGCGTTAGGAAAAATCATTAAGAATTCTGGAATATCTCAAGTATACAAGAAAAACCACAGAGAGCACGCTGTGTGAGTTTTTGTCCATGTGTGGAAGTGTGAGTCTGTGCATGTAATTCTGTGAACGTGTGTACGTTCTTGTGTACATGGTTGTGCTAGTGCTGAAAATAAAAGTGTTGTAAGAAAACATAAGTAAAGGTAAAAATGGCAACATAATCATAATCACTTACAGGTCTCAAAAGCAAAGTGTTGTAGCCCATGGGACATTAATACAGCTTTTCAAATTAATTATGCAAGTATATCGAGTTATCTCTTTGGTATTCTCATAACTTTATCATGAATTGTGAACATAGAGAATCGAATTTAAAAGAAAAAGTATAGAGATTAAGCTCAATCTAATGCGCACTTTAAACATGCAATATCATTTATGTTTTTACATGTAAATAACCTCATGTAATGTAATATGTAAAACTTTCTTTAAAAAAAAAAGAAGAAAAAAATCCTAAACTTAACCAACAGAAAGGTCTAATTTGCACTCGTGATTAGACTAAACAAATTATGGGAGACATTGACAACAGTCAGAGTACGAGCAGCTGTATGTACGAGCCAGAACCTTGTTGGCATATAATTCAAGAACACACGAAACCGAATCCAATGCACTAAGCCCAGACGAGCGCCCCGCCTCAAAGCCATTCAACCCACCCGCCACGAATAACTGCATCCCGACAGCCAGAAAGCAAACCGCGCACACTACGTGCCGCCAGGCAGGAAAGGCATTAATGCTTGTCTCACCTAGCAACAAAGAAACGTACGCCATTCACCCGACCACCGAAACACAATCACCCGTAGCAGGCGAAAGAACAGACCCGTAGCGAGGCAGCCAACAAAGATTAAATCACGAAAAAGGACCATTCAATCAACGACACAGGTCATGTGAAATAGTCCGCACCGTCCAAGAACATTGTGTATGTTCTATCTATGCAAGCCACCCATGAATACCTTACATTTAGTTATAAATGTATCTATACAAATAAAGGCTCATGTGTAAAACTTGTTAGTAAGTACTAATAATTACAAAATGTATCCTTGAAACGCAGGCCTAACACATTGGGCAGGCTTGATTTGCCTTTATAAATTATCATTGATGTGATTGAAAATAGAAAAATATCACAACATTATGAAACATGTACCCCTAATTATCTTACGCAAAAGCATATGATATTATCACCAGCATCTTGGGTGTTCGATGTGACAAATGGCTTATCACACCAGAATAACAATATGCATAATTTATTGAGCAATATGCTTTGCAAATCATATTTAAATTGTATACATGTTTATATTTCAACATTTATACATTTGTGGCTCGCGATTTATGATGAAAAAACGGGTACTATAAACCATGCTATAAACGCTCATAAGTTTAACTTGTGCATGTGAA